ACGACGACAACGACGACAACGACAACAACGACAACCAACAAATAACAACAACAACAACAACAACAACCAACAACAACAACCAACAACCAACAACCAACAACCACAACAAACAACAAACACCAACAACAACAACCAACAAACAACAACCAACAACCAACAACCAACAACCAACAACAACAACAACAACAACAACAACAACAACAACAACAACAACAACAACGACGACAACGACAACGACGGCGACGGCGACAGCAGCAGCAGCGACAATGACAACAGCGACAGCAGCAGCAACAACAACGACGACAACAACGACGACAACAACGACAACAACAACGACGACGACAACAACGACGACAACACAACGACAACAACAACGACAACAACAACGACGACAACAACGACGACAACAACAACGACGACGACAACAACAACGACGACGACAACAACAACGACGGCGACGGCGACAGCAGCAGCAGCGACAATGACAACAGCGACAGCAGCGACAATGACAACAGCGACAGCAGCAGCAACAACAACGACGACAACAACAACGACGACAACACAACGACAACAACAACGACAACAACAACGACGACAACAACGACGACAACAACAACGACGACAACAACGACGACGACAACAACGACGACGACAACAACCAACGACGGCGACGGCGACAGCAGCAGCAGCGACAATGACAACAGCGACAGCAGCGACAATGACAACAGCGACAGCAGCAGCGACAACAACGACGACGACAACAACGACGACGACAACAACGACGACGACAACAACGACGACGACGACAACGACGACGACGACAACGACGACAACGACGACGACGACGACGACGACGACAACAACAACGACGACGACAACAACAATGACAACAGCAACGACAACAAAATAACGACGACAACAAAATAACGACGACGACGACGACATAACAACATAACAACAACAATATAACAACAAAATAATAACAACAACAATAAAACCATGCATGCATGTATACAGCAACAACAACAGGAGCTACTGCTGGAGACTGACAGATCAACTAACAATCTTACTTAGGTTTGGTTCATTTAATTAACAAGTTAATTTTAAAATAGGTAACGTAATATATGTGATGTGAACTTTTTCAGTATTCTCAAATTGGTTTTTATTAAATTGATTATTCTATTTGTGACTAATTGTCGGGAATTACAATTTTGGATGGAAACATTCTCAACACTACATTGCGTTATCAGGGTTTTTTTTCACGCATAGTTTGCAAGTCTGACAGTTTCAAACAAAATGTATCAAACACCAAATGTACCAAATGTCCTCCAAGAAGCACAAGTATCGAGAACAGAACCAGTTGTACATGTAGAGATGGTTATTACAAGAGTCCCTCGGATCAAAATGTCTTGTCCCCTTGTTACGGTAAGCAGAATTGTACACAATTATTACATTGCCATTTCATGAACTGACTTCAAAGTAAGCTCGGGGTATGAGATTGATTCACCGAATTACAGTAAGAAAAAACCTACAGAATAAGGGATTTCAAATAGGTAACTACAGTATATACGCTTTTATTCTCTATTTAATTAAACGTTCATTTATTAATGCACGTCATATTTAAATTGATAACTTGAACTAATAAGCAAATTAATAATTTTCGTTACTGTTCTTGCTGTTACAGTTGTTGCCGTCCTTGTTGTTGTTGTTGGTGGTGGTGGTGGTGGCGCGCTTTGTTGGAATTGAATTGATTTTTAGTGAAAAAAACCCCTGTAAAACCATTATCATCCCGTGGTGTTTGGCACAGACCATAACATATACCGGGTGTCCCAAAAAAAAGTACTCCTGTTTGATTCGTAATAACTTCTAAACAAGTACAGCTTTTAAAGAGAAATAACTTGCATTAAATAGAGGAAGGACTAACTTAGATTTTGATATATTACAATTGTATTTTACTTAAAAATTCACGGAGATATTAATGTTCAAAATCGGGAGCATATTTTGGGATGTGTCTAAAATTGGCAAAAATCGGCATATCAAATATTAACTCCAGCGTTTGTTTGCTTAATGACATATCAGGCTAACTGGTATTTCAGCGAATTATCGTTAGGGTTTGTAAGGGATATGGCGTAGATTTAGACATCTTACATGTAAGTCTTAGCTCATTGTTTCCTGAAATATGAACGTTCCAAATTATGCAAGTATTTAATATTAGGTCTTTACAAACTTAAAAGTACATGAAAGACCATGGAAGGCAGGCGCTTAAATTTTTCTTAAATAGCCTAATTTTTTTATGTTATTAATGGGTTCAAACAGACTGAGTTGATTATTTCTCGGTTAGAGCAGGATGAATATTATTCTTTATTGAAGGAAATAATATTGCTTTTTGCAAATACACATCACCGTATCAACGCTACTATTTTAATTGTTAGGTTTTGTTCCAAAAATGTTGCATGTCTCTGGGGAGTTGCTTAATTTAATTGTTATATGTCTTATGGAGTTATATGGTTTGATTGTGTTTCATATAATTCTCAGTTTACTCTGAACTTGCCAAGATTAGGAAAAGGCAAAAGAGTTTGGATGTTCTTAACAAGATTTCAGAACGTTGCAGAAGTTAGAAGTGCTTCACAATTCCATTGTGACAGCATGCCCTAATTCAGAACTACGAACGATCCATGACGATCCTTCGCGATGTAGTGGTCTAATGAAATAAGGAAACGTATTCGTGCTAGGAACACACGCAAATTTCGGACGAATAAATCATGCTTGTATTTTGTAGATATAATAATACTTTGTTTCATAATAAACAATTTGTCAAGTGTCATTTATTTACTGGTAATGGTGCATGTTTCAGTCGGGCAAATCTTGATTAATATTTGATACGCCGTTTTTTGCATATTTCAGACACATCCAGAAATATGCTCCCGATTTTAAAGATTAATATCTCCGTGAATTTTTCAGTGAAATACAACTGTAATATATCAAAATCTAAGTTAGTCCTTCCTCTATTTAATGCAAGTTATTTCTCTAAAAAAGCTTTACTTGTTTAGAAATTATTACGAATCAAACAGGAGTACTTTTTTTGGGACACCCGGTATATATATATATATATATATATATATATATATATATATATATATATATATATATATATATATATATATATATATATATATATATATATATATATATATATATATATATATATATATTTAACAAATATAAAACATTTTCCGTGTTGATATACAGTTATATCAACACGAGTGGAAATTGGGAAAACGAGAAATTGTGTGGAAACACGACGCCCGAAGGGCAGAGTGTTTTCACACAATTTCGAGTTTTCCCAACTTCCACGAGTGTTGATATAACTATATATCAATACGGAAAAAATGTTTTATATTTGTTTTATAATATAGTAATGTCAAAAGCCCGAAGAATAAGAACAATTTCCGTGTTACAAGCGGCGGAAAATTTCCCGTGTTGACATGGAGTTATATCAACACGGCTCTTAGCCAATCAGCGTTCAGAATTTACAAATGCTATATTATAATAACTATTATAACATAGTGAAGATGTATGTGTTGTTGTCCATGAAGCCTGGTGGCTTTCAAGGTCGTTATATATATATATATATATATATATATATATATATATATATATATATATATATATATATATATATATATATATATATATATATATATATATATTATATCTTAGATAAAATTTCAGTATACGTACTTTACTCGTTTACACCTCAACATATTGTTATGAAATCATATGGAAATTAAATGCATCATGCTGCTTTTTGGCTGCGTTTTGTCTGATATTTCGAAAACGCACACTGCGGAAAATTCTTAATTAATGTGATCAATCAGCATGAAAACACCTACAGAGCAGCCTATAATCCCAGGCTCTCTCTCTATTCGCTGCTTTGATATATTTAAATAAGTTTTAAAAGTTTTATGCCTGGGTGTGCTGTGCGGAACGTTCAGTGAGAGAGCCTAGCAGATTTTGGTAAAATGGTCCCTGATTTCAAAAAAGTGGTCCCAGGCCTGGTTACCAAGCATACCGCATTTGTAAATAGAAAATGTTATGGAAATTTCCTTTGCGTGTATAGTTAAGTCATTAGTTTTGCTCTTTAATGCTGTCCAAACAATGAAATAGGCTACTTTTCGCTACCATACGATCAGAATGGAATAGGCTAAATATGACTCGTGTTTACTAAAATATAAAGCCATATTAAATGCTATCAATGAACTGGCTTGAAAATTATGCCGAGTCTCCGACTAAAAATGTTTTGACAACACAGTCATGTCAGGCAAATATTTCCAATCTCCTGAGCTATACTTAAACCTGTCAAGTAGAAAGCGTAGTTGTGTATACCAGTATGGTCTAGTGTTGATCACAACTTGCGAGTATATAAATAACATCAACGATTATACGACTACCAAATCAGTGGACGGTTCCGGCAATTCTAAAATTGAGAAAATTCTGAAAGTTGAAAGTTAAATTTGCAGCAAATCTATCTTTCGACTCACATATTTCTTATCGATAACACAAAATTCCATATCCTT